TACGGATTGGACAGGGAAGCACTTCGTCGGAGAGAGAGCGGTTACAGAATCAGCAGCCTATCGGCGCGGCCGGAGACGCAGCGGCGGAGGGGGACGGAGCAGTAATTTGGCGGAGGAGATCATGCAGGATGATAACGACGACGAAGAAGGACAGGAAGAAGATGAATGACACAAGAGGGGAAATCTGCATACGCTCACTACTCATGTGACGATTGGTAAAAGTTTTTGGTGTCTATATACATAGACACAAATGGGCGGACTTAAGGATTCTTCAAGACAAGACGGCTTCACGGCTTTGGCTTACGGTATGAGTGAGTTACAACAATTGCTGTTAAAAAACACAAAATCGGAGGGGACTGAACTCGGTATTATGTACAATACTCCAACACACGCTGCATGCCATATTTTCGTCGCGCTCACTTTTCTTACAGCAAGCTTTCGAGTGAGGCGACTCCATACGCCTGTTGTGTCCGAGGTACGAAGTACATTCCATTTGTATGGGAGCTTGCGCCACCCCCTGGCTTGGTGGCTAACCAGTGAAGTGTGGCAGTGCAATCGGCCTATAGGCTATTGACGTAGGCAATTGGGTGGCAACCTGCTGTCCAAGATTCTTAAAGCTCACACGCAAGCGTTGCGCTTGCAAACTCATTCATATTAAAATTCCTTTCTTCATCGAAACTTCCAATCACACACAAGATCGTCATAAATTCTCCAAATACGCGTTGTAAGCGTCCTACGTTTCAAGATGCTCGAATACTTCGCATACAAGAAAGTGAAGAAGCACCGGGCGGAACAGGCCGCCAGCAGGCAGCAGGAAAAAGGGAAACAAGTTGCCAGAGATGAAATACCAAAGAGAGAGCCGGGAACAAATACAGCCATACCTCAACGCGACCATGATAGTGACGGCCCAGCGACTGAGGGTACACCAGTCTTGGATCATGAAGACGAGGAGTTCCTGGAGCGCCTCACATCGTCCACCGCGAGCCTTGGCGACAATGAGGACGAGACTCCACCACCTCTACCGCCGCGCGTCAAGACGCCCGTCATAGAAATCGACAGCGATACGAGTAGCTTAATGAGTCGGAAAGAAAATGAAAACACGACTGATAACAAGCAAAAACCCCCACCCGCCAAACCCCGCTTTACCTTCATGAAGGCAATACCCAGATCCATCTCCCTGCGGAAAAAGTCGACCACGAACCAAGACCAAAACCATCTCTCCGTACCACGGGAAACAAACCAGAAAGAATCGGAAGACAAGAACTTATCCCGCGTCCTCGACGACCTTGACCTCGCATCTCGCAATAATCGCGCTATCTCCCTCTCAGCCGAATCCGCCTCCCTAGCCCACACCTTCACGCAAGTCCTTCGCGACCTCGTTAACGGTGTCCCAACCGCCTACGCCGACCTCACCCACCTCCTCGACGACAAGGACGGTCTCCTCTCCCGCAATTACGCGCGTCTACCCAGCAGTCTCAAGAAGCTCGTGTCCCAACTACCCGAAAAACTCACCTCGACCCTCGCGCCAGAGCTACTGGCCGTCGCCGCCGAAGCGCAAGCGATCGGATCCGAAGAAGGCGTGCAGTCCGGCCTGAAGTCCGGCGCGAAGAAATTCCTTTCGCCCGCGAATCTTCGCGACCTCGTCTCGAAACCGGGCGCCATAGTCGGCTTGCTAAAGGGCATCATGAACGTCCTCAAGACCCGCTTCCCGGCTTTCGTGGGCACGAATGTCCTGTGGAGTTTGGCGGTGTTTTTGCTCCTTTCTATGCTTTGGTACTGCTATAAGCGCGGGCGCGAGGAGCGGTTGGAGCGCGAGGCTAGGGAGAAGGCGGAGACGGGCGAGTCTAGTTCTGCTGGTGGGACCGGCGAGGGGCCGGATGTCGCTGGTGGGAATACATCTCGCAATACCGACGTGGTCGCGGATCCTCGGTGATGTGTGCGGCGTGCGTTTTTATTATGATCGAGATAATCTGGCGCTGGCGCCGGACGGGCGGTTATGTTTGCATGATAGACGACGGAACGTGAGATGGGGCTTTGGTATGATGGCGTGCTTCATGGGGTGCAGGTTCATAGGTATTCGGGCTGGTGTTAACGCTTTTCTTGCATTTCACGTGTGGGTAGCGCTAAGCTACAGTATCACTTTTACGCTTGACCTTTGTGCTTTCTACGAGGATTCGGCCTGAGAATTGCTGTGATGAATTGATTGATTGATTGATTGATTGATTGCTAAGATATTAGTAGGATAAGTAATAAGAGTATGTATGTAGATACGTACGCGCCTCCGCATAAGCGGCGACATACAGTACATACATAGTGTATAGCACTGTAGTATGGAAGCGATAATAAATGGCGGCGCTCTCAATCTACCGCATCTTCCGAGTCCTGAAGGCTATGAAATCTTGATCCTAGTAATCATCCTGCACCAACTCTTTGATCTCCTCGCTCGCGGGCGCAATGCCAACCGGTTCGGCTTTCTCGTCACGCCCACCCGTACGATCGAGAACGCGCGCGCCGTCCTGCATCCAGAAATCTACCTCGTCAACAATGTCGGCAACAATGTCCTCGACGATCTGCTCGTCGTAGCGCTCGGATACAGGGCGGAGCTCGTCTAGTTGCTTCTGCTGCGCCGTGCTTAACTGCACGGTTTCCTCGCCCACGTCGCGCATCTCCACGTCATTCGGGGCAGTGACATAACTTGGAGGCGGGTACCAAAAATCGGGTCCAAAATTGGTCTCGACTGCGCCGCCTCGGAATACACTAACCGCCGGGTAGTAACCCAGCATACCGTCGTCATTACCCTCCCGCGCACCTACTTGGACTTGCGGTTTCGACGCTGGGGGCAAGAAGGCGAGTAGGTCAGTGAATGGAGTGCCCATCAGCACGCCGTTCTTATACACCTTGATGTAGGAATTGGGTAGAGTCCGCAGAGCGGGCACTGGGTGATGTGGGTTTGGCTTGTCAGCATGTCTGCTACCAGATTGATTAGATTGCCCCATAGGTGACGGGTTCATTAAGTCTTCCAGTTCTTTGGTTGTATGATAATCGATCTTCTCAAAGTATATATGCGCCTTGAATCGAATTGGTATTCGGTCTCGGATGATGTTGGCAGCCTCCATGGCGGACTCGTCCTCATTGAGATCGACGGCTGGGTTGTAATGCCCTTGGACTATCTTTCTGTGCAGGTACTCCGATGGTAGTCGAATCTCTAGTCCTATTATATCACCTTCTCTTATATCCTCACCGGGGGGGAAGAATTCTTTAGGCCGGGACATGTGCACCTTCTGGCCGGCGACGTCTCGAAACCCATAGCTGTAGGCATCAAAACCTACTGGGGCATCTAACGAGGCTTCTCGTCTGGCGAAACCAATGCGTACATGGCCGCGCGACTCGGGTTGGCCGGGGGTTCCATTCTTCGCTCCTCCCTCACATTTCAAAATTCCTCTCGTAATCTTACATTCCCAATACCACGTTCCCTCTCGTACGGCAACATTCGCCCTAGCCATGCGAAACCCCTTGTCTGTAGTGATATGGCGACCTGAATGATCCAAAAACATATGCGTGGAGGCATCTTCAAAACTGATATGGGGCCCATAGGGCTCCGGTTCGGTCTGGCGGTAGTAGAAAGAAGAGGGAAAGGCGGGGTCGGCGATGCAGTGCAGGTAATGATAGTTCTTTTTGTTGTACACGCTAATGTGCGGATCAGCAGAATGTCAACACGTCAGATTGAATTGGGGCGTGTAGAGCCACGGAGGAACACAAAAGGTGGGTTACAACTTACTGTTCAGAAGTTTCGAGAAAGGATATGGAAGAGCCGTCAGGAAGGGGAAGATCATGATGATGTGTGAAGACGGGACCCCTTGCAGGATCGAAGTCGGAGAGTTTTGGAGGAGCTAGTTTATAGCGCAAGGGGGACGACTCGCTAGCTGCTTGTTCATGTCCCTTCATCTTGGGATCGGGCGTCGCTCTCGAGCTGTCAAGACCAGCACTGCCGCCGCCGCCACCGGTACCGGATCCAACGCCAACGCCAGCAGTATAGCTCGCCTTCGACTCACGCTTCTTCAGTGAATCCTTCTTTGTGCGCGCAGATTTGTCACGGGAAACGGCGGCCAGGTCATCGTGGATTGGGGGCTTTGTGTATGATTTGGGGTCAGGAGTCGAGGATGTGGTTCCGTTTGTATTTGCGTTCGCATTTGCGTTTGCGTTTGAATTGGGGTTGGGGTTAAGAGGTGACGGGACAGAGGGAGTATGGTCATCTTCGGGCGCTCTCTTTTGAGGAATGTAGGATATTGGAAGAATAGGGAGTGGTATAGGTGTTATCTGCCTCTTGGGCATGTCGTTATTGGTAGCCATGGTAGGCGATGATGGCGTAGATGATGACGGTGGTATTGGACAAGCGACTACCTATCACTTAATAGTCCAATGCTTCTATTTGGAACAAGGCATATTTCAGTTTTGATGGCTTATGTATTGCGTGATGGCTATACAAATAGATGCGAGAAGCGGGTCGCGGATCAGTGGTCGATTGCCCTGGGACGTATGGTAAATGTTTGTTTGTATTTTTTTTTTGATTTATATTGAGAGATCGCAAGTTGGGAATGCGCCCAGGAAGCCGGATGGAGGCCCCTCCGGTTCTTAGCGCGTCTGCGGACTTATACGTAAGTAAGTAGTACTTATGTAGGTACTTCTTATGTGATGGAATTATGTAACCAACATCCCCACTCTTCATAGCCCCACTTCGGACCGCATGTAGCCGGTACCTACTTGTAGGTAGTTTGGGCCTTGATACCTGATGGCGGCTTTGCCTCTGGCAAACAAGAAAGAGTCAAAGTGAAAACGTAAAAATGGACGGATATCCGTAGGAGGTAGGCAATCCGTACCATAAACCCAAATACGTACCTAACCTACACCACCCGAAGTACCTAGTATACCAGTGAGTGTGTGTGCTTGGAGTTCCGTCATGAAAAAAACGTAATATAACACCAAGATCCGTAAAAAAAAAACGGTCAGCACGGGACTCGAACCCGCAACCCTAGACTAGACCTACTGCCGATACACATAGCGAGTATCCAAATGCACAGTAATAGGAGGTCTACATGCTACCATTGCACCAACCGACCAGCCAGTGGTGAAACCATCGCTGGTCTCTACAAGGTTATGTATTCGGTTGGTGAAGCGTGTGCACACCTACAAAACGAATATAGAACATGATATCTCAGCTCTGCTTTTGATACACTACACCGATATTGTATGGAGGGAGTCGATTTTACAAGAGAACAGAAGACTGCCTATGAGTATGAACTACGAATCCGTACGTATGAGCTATTAGTAGGCACCTACGTACTCCCGTAATCACAAAAGTCTCGACTCTATCGCATACAGAATTCTGCTCAGGAATCCCAGGATCTCAAACTGCAGATAGCGAGTAGCGTTGGTTCCGGTTATCGCCCACTATGCATCTCAGCAGGTATATCATATCAGGGCAAATCAGATGCATTGATGCGTGAGGTAAGAATGAGTGAGTGTGGTGTAATTATCTCTTGTTCGTATCAGTGAAGAGTACTTATCTAGTTACAGCGAAGGCCCTCGCGTGATCGGGCGACCATGACGTCGTTCAATCAAGAGAAGGCAAGATGAGTGTAGAGGTGGTTGCTCATTCGTAGCAACATTGCAGCAAGAATATGCTTATTAACGTTCACTTTTGTAGGGGCGGCTGACGAATAAACACAGACGCCGAGGTGGTTTCGAATTCCCATAATACAGCGTCAATGACTCGTGTACAAGGTGGTCGGTGACGAAGCGCGTTTATACCGTGAACGCCGTGCCAAAATCGTCGCGAAATCTGTCCATATGCTTAGAGGAGTGAAAACCTTATATGCAGCACATCTGTGTGCCTATAGTCCAGTCGCCTCAGACAGGCATGCCATTCTCCATAATCTTTCGGCCTTTGTTGTCGTAAGTCGTAACACTGAAAGCTTCGTAGTCATTTACGTCTTGCAGATCATCCTCATCAAGTTCGATGCCTGCGAGAGTGCCTTGCCCAACCTTAGGCCAAGCAGGGGGAAGCGAGTCAACCGATGACTCACGACGTGCCTGATCATGGGCGTCATCAGAACCCTTCTTCGCGTCGGATATCGAATCCGTGCTGACGGCAAAATTCGCCGGGCCCCGGGTTTTGGTATCAGTCCGTGGTAGGAGGCCGGCCATGGTGGAGCCTCCGTAGATACCTTGCGCACTGCGCTTCGAAGCTTGGCCCGTCTCTTGGGCAGGAAAGATGGGAAGTTCCGGATGTAACTCGGTGGAATACATAATGATGTTCACTAATTGGGCGTGTGGGAGGTTGGTGAGATAGTCCCTTCGCTGCCTACCGGTTAGCAATCTTGCATAATGGATATGTGTGAAGAGAAGCTGACGAACCTGCTCTCCGCTCTTCGATGCCCAGCTCACACCCTTGTATTCCTCGAGAGTCTTCTTCTTAGCCAAAGCCTTCTCGCGTTTGGATACACAACGGCTGCAGAACCATGAGCGATTCTCGTCACTGACGAAATCGTCATCGATATACGGGTCGTGGCACATTTGATGCCAACAGTAATTGCAGCCATCGCAAAAAACAATACGGTTCATGTTGGGACTGAGCCCACGAGTGCATACCTTGCACAGAGCATGCTCCGCAGTACGCTTGCCATAATTTTTCCGCTTGTGCGAGCCCGACGCGTCGGCAGGATTAAATTGCGTTGGTTTCTGGATTTGTCGGCCTGATTTGGTCATAGTAGCTGGCATTTGAGCTTTCGCCAGACCATCGAAATCACTGTCCGATAGATCACTCATGCTGCTGGATGCGTCCTCATAATCTTTTCCTCGTTTTCGTTTCGCACCACGAGCAGATTTTCCTTTTGATTTCGAAGAAAATGATTTTGAAGGTGCTAGCTTGATGACAGCAGGTCTAGCAGTGGCGGAGACAGGTGGCGGCGGCCGTAGATGAAAAGAGTCACCGACTGTGTGAAGACGTGTGCTTGAGCTAGGCTTGTTGTTTTGGGTTGTTGTTGGCATGGGCATTGTCAATGAGGTATTCATGGTCATGACCAGGCGTCTCTTTGCATCCTCAAATGTCGATTGCTCGATACTCCGGGCAACAGTGGAAGCTGATGAAAGGGCCGCCGATAGACTGCCTGGCTTGCTATTAATGCGAGAGAGAATCATTTGTGTGGCAGCCGAGAACTGTGGCACATAAGGCCGTCTCCCGGTGGAACTTGCTGAGCTTGGCGCGGGACTCGGAGCTGTGCTTGGAGGATTCGGCTCTGTACTCGGAGCTGAGCCCGTGGGCGGCCCCGCCACGGGAGGTGCGGCATTTGTTGCCAAGCTATTGTTATTGATGCTTGAACTTTCAGTACCTTCCGATTGCTCCTCCATTCCGTACTGATAGAAATTAGCAATTAGCCCGATTGGTTGTACTCATGACGAACCTGCTGGCAATTATAAATAGGCGCGGATGGCGATTCGGTCGACTCGGAGGGTGACCCGGCTAAGTTCAGGCTAAGCAATAAGCACCACGGCGGTCAGTATCAACCGCATTTCTGATACTATACGAGTATTAAGACTAGGATTGAGATTGGTGTGATAGTAAAGTGCTCGATTGATTTGTTTTGAATTGGGAAATCAACACAAGGTGAATGGGAAGGGGGGGTGGGGTGGAGGTATTGCACGTGACCTTCACGTGACTGAGATACAAGCTCTCTAGCGTGTTTTCATCCACGGGCCTTCACACTTTCTAATGTTTCACCCATACTCCAGCTTCATGTCCACGAGGATCGATTCTTATATTCATGGATTGCATCTATTTGGCTGCTCCTTTCTCTTTCAGAGCTGTAATAGCACTGCTATCCAAACCAAGGAGTGTACCAAGAATCTCGTCAGTGTGCTGTCCCAAAGTTGGTGGAGCCATTCTGACGCCAGGAGTGCTATGACTGTATTTCACTGGAGTGTTGACCACCTTAATAGGTCCACATTGCTCATGTTCTATTTCTGCTACCATGTTGCGCGCTTTTGTATGTTCGTGGTTGAGGGTATCCTGAACGTCGTTGACCGCGGCATATGGCATGCCTTTGCCCTCAAAGATCTCCAGCCACTCCTGTGTTGTCTTCTGAACGCTAATCTTCTCGATTTCTGCCTCGAGCTCAACACGGTTTGTGACTCGCGATGAGTTTACGCTATACTTCGGATCTGTCTTCCACTCTGGCCGACCTAGACCATCACAGAGAATGCCAAACAGTCGATCATTCCCGCCGCCAAACAGGACATTGCCGTCTTTGGTTTTGAACGACTTGTATGGGACTATAGATGCTGTGTACACTGTTAGCTAGATGTATTATAGGGACAGAACAAGAAAGAAACCCACGATGAGCTGTGCCCCAACGTCCAGAGTCCCTCTGGCCACTGATGAGACAGCTACTAGCAATGTTGGCCAGCGTAGCAGTTTGGCAGTCGCTCAACGAAACATCAATATGTTGACCCTGCCCAGTCTTTGACCGTGCCAGCAGCGCAGCCATGATGCTATTGCTTGTGTATAGGCCGGTGGTTAGATCCGTCACGGCGACTCCGACCTTGACTGGGGGCCCATCTCGAGTACCAGTGATGTGCATCAGGCCAAACTCAGCCTCGACCATGACATCATAACCAGCACGCCCAGCGTATGGACCGGTTTGCCCATAGCCTGTAATAGAAGCATAGATTAGAGATGGGTTGATTTTGTGTATTGTCTCAAAGTCCATGCTGTACTTCTTGAGACTTCCCGGAAGGTAATTCTCGACTAGGATGTCGCATTTTGCAGCAAGCTTGTGCAAAATGTCGATACCTTCAGGATGCTTGAACGAGAGAGCCAGTGACTTCTTATTGCGGTTCACCTGAAAATCTCATCAGTTCTATACGCGATCTCAGAGCCTTCTTGCGACCATTTATGAGCCTACTCCTAGAAAATATGCAGACTCGCCAGGACCCTGGAGATTAGACCCTGGCTGGTATGGGGCATATGGCGGCCCCCAGGCACGAGTATCATCACCACGAGTAGGATGTTCAATTTTGATAATCTCAGCCCTTTTGTCGGTGAGTGTCAGTATTCATCTGCCATGGGATCATGATAGTATGGGATATACCCTAGATCGCCCAAGATCTGAGTACAGTATGGCTACATGGAAAGGTCACTCTCAGTCCTCATTCATCTATATCCAACAGGCCAGAGTGAGGAGCTACATACACCGGCAAGAACCCTCGTCATGTCAAGAACTCGATATCCAGCCAATGGGAGTGTCGAATCGGTAGGCGGGCACGTTCGCGAAATTGATGACTGGCAACGGACGAGACACAACGATATGTCATGGTTCCTTGCCAAGAACTTAGCGCCCAGGCCAATTCTCGACAGGGCGCGGCCCATAGGCCTCATAGGCAGCATGACGAATTATCCACCACGCGATTCCCGGGGGCGATTCGAAATGAGACCAGATGGGTCAAGTAGGTAGGTAGGCGGACTGAGTTATTGTTGAACATGACTGAGATTGAGATTGAGATTGAGATTATGCCTACTTACGTACTACTGTAGGATGTTCCCCCTGCGTAATCCGTACTTGTAGGTACGTACCTAGTATGTATAATCCGTACCTAAATTAGCGAATTCGGAAAGGCTAAATAATTGTTTAGAGGCGGCGAGAGAGAGGGTGAATTTGGACTGGGGGCTCCACTTAATTTACCTAGGGAAACTGTCCTGGCAGCTGCCAACAGCAGCCCCTTGTGTGGTGGATATCCAGCGACTACGGACGTACACTAGGTAGGTACCACCTACCTAGCCTACCTAATACGTACAAAGTACGGATCCGTCCGGATCCGTAATTGGTTAGTTGTCCAACGACACTCGGCGGCCGGGGTTACTAGTGTAAATACGGACGTACTATCCGTGAAAATACCAGAAAGATCTGCGATCAATTGCAGCTTCTTCTCTTGTACACCTAGCTCTAAGTACTGGTATATAGTGTATTAGGCCCTCTTAGCTACCTTGAATTGATTGACTTTATGATACCACCAGCACGAAGTACCTATGCCTCCGAAACAACAGCGATACACCGCAACATCT